TGGCATCAGGAAAAACTTGTAAAATGAAGGTAAAACCTCTCCCAACCTATGGACCAGAACTGCCTCTTTGATAAGCAAGTACACCCAGGTATAGGTCAGTCTTAAGAGTTTATAAATGACCAGACCGCCCTGTGAGCACTCCCAGAGAGGGAGAAGGAGGAGTAATACACTGTTTAAATAACATGCCCTTCTCAAAATGAAAGGACAAAATACAGATCAGCAGTAGACGGGCCTGAAGGAGGACCACCAAGAGGCATTGGCGGAGCGTGGGGAGTGACAGAACTTGATTGCAGAGATAGTTAACACAAATGAGTATCTGTGAAAACTCGAAGAACTGTAACTGAAAAAGGTAAATTTTACTGTAAATTACACCTTCAAAAAATTCAAAAGAGATATAGAAAAAAATTAAATTGTCTACTAAAGTAAAAAATTAAAAAATTCACAATGTCTTTAAAACAAATTAAATGAAGGATTTCCCTTAATGAGTTCAAATGCTGGAATATACTAGTATAATTGAGTACATTAAAAAAATTTTCCAAACAGGGGCACCTGGGTAGTTCAGTCCGTTGAGCATGGATGGGACTCTTGGTTTTAGCTCAGGTGGTGATCTCGTGGGTCAAGATTTTGAGCCCTGCAAGGGACTCTGTGTTTACCATGGGGTCTGCTTGGGGAGTCTTTCCCTCTGCCCCTCATCCCCACTCGTGCATGTGCATGCGAGCACCGGCTCTTTCTCTCTAAAAATAATTTTTTTTTAAATTTTTTCCAGTGAGAAATGAGGTTTAATACTTGATCTTTTAGAAACATTAAGCCATCTTGAGGTATAAGATCACATAAGAGTTGACTGATTGCCTGTGTATGGCCTCCTTGCTTTCTCTAAACTCATAAATTTGTTTGTTTTTCCTGAATACAAGAAAAGTCTTAAAAAGAGAATTAAAGGTAAAACCAGAAAATAATTCCTAATATGATTTCTATGTACTACAAAAATATTAAAATACACAACTGAGCCATTAAAGTTATATGTCTCAATGAGGGTCCTAAAGGCCCAGAAAGAGATTTGCTTTCCCTAGCAGTCACCCTGAGGCTCCTAGTGGTCCATGAGCCTTGCTTAAGAAAATGACTTTATCCATCCCAGGAAAGTATACACCTCTCAACTAAGAATAATAAGCTATATTCATTTAGCCGGGCTTTATGCTAAACTCTCTGCAATCACAACAACCCACCTTGCAGATGAGGAATCCTGAGGCCAAGAAGTGAGGGAGAAGGGTGGAACCAGGATCTGGCCAAAGCACAAACACCCACCACACCAGCCCCCGGGGTGCAGGCCATCACCACAATGAGGAGCAAGCAACATGTTCCTCCACTTTTCCGGGGGCCCTTCACAGTTCTAGTCATCTACAGCTTGTGAGCAGTCCTTCTCTTGGTCTGCATTTAATGCCAGAGCTTGATGAGCATCTCCTTTCTCAACAGAAGAACAATGGAAGGGCAAAAGAGGCTCTAGCAATCACCTTTCTGATCCAGGATTACTTCACTCTCAGAAATGACCCTGCGGTCTTACGGACAGAAAAGACTGGCTTAAATCCTTATTATCAAAGATTCCCTCAACTTCCCATTGTTTTCCTCAGGACTGCGGGTTTACTGTGCTCAGACCTCAATTCTGTTTCTCAGGCAGAAATACCCAGGCTAATCACACCCCAGCCCAACAAGCTCTCAGGCTGTGGTTTGAGGACCCTCTGACACTCTAAAAATTACTGAGGAGTCCAAGGAGCTTTTGTGTATGTGAACCATACTCTATCAACATCTCCTGTATTAGAAATTAAAACTGAGGGTTAAAACCTCTGCTTTCGGCTCAGGTCATGATCCCAGGGTCCTGGGATCAAGCCCTGATTGGGCTTTCTGCTCAGCGGGGAGCCTGCTTCCCCCTCTCTCTCTGCCTGCCTCTCTGCCTACTTGTGATCTCTGTCTGTAAAATCTTAAAAAAAGAAATTAAAACTGAGAAATTTTTAAATCAAATCAGTTTAATTAAATCATTTAAAATATTAAACATGTTAATATAAGTAACATTTTTATGGGAAAGAAACCTCTGTTTTCAAAAATAAAAAATAATGAGAAGAGTGATATTATTTTACATTTTTGTAAAACTCCTGAAGGTCATGCTTAATAAAAGCCAGCTAGATCTTACATCTACTTCTGAGGTCTGGCATGACATTCATAGGTACACAGTCATGTAGCCAAGGAAAACACCACTGTACCCTCAAGAGAATGAAAGTAGAAGGGCAGATAATGTCTTAGTATTACTTCAAAAACTGTCTGACCTTGAAAGGGTATCAGGAACCCCCTAGAGCCCTCCTACCATATTTGGAGAACCACTGCTCTAGTCAAGCCTGGGGTACTCCTACGTCTGGCTTCAGCAGATCCCCACAATCTAACTTGAACTCCAACCTCACTCTCTCTTGCTTCCTTACCACTGCCATGCCCCACCCCCCAAATGTACCATCTTCCCTAAAAAACAAAACTTTCTACATAAACTGTCTCCTCTTTCTCTTAGGTCACCAAACTTCTTGAAAAAGTAGTTCCCACAACCTCTACTGCCCCTAGTTTTTATCATTTTAATTAACAAAGTAATACACACAGACGTTCTCATTAAAAAAAAAAAAAAAGATAAATCACCATCCATAATTCCAGTCTCTAACCACTGTTACCCCTAGAAAATACTCCGAGCTGTTAACTAAATAATTTGATTGAATTTTTAATTTTCTTGTGATTTTTTTCCCTCATCAAATAGTTATTTTTAAAAATCCTGAAAGGAAGTTCTGTTTAGATTCCAATTCTTTTTGGTTACCCAAGGTATGGTCAAAGAATAAGGGCTACCAACTAGGATTTTAGGGAGATAAAATGAGTGATATTCTTATACAAAGTGAGTACTAAACAAAATGCTACAACCATGCTGATTTTATGGTAATACAACATAAGACAGAATAATGAAACTTAGTCATCCTGATATATACATATATTATATATATATAAAATATGTAACAGTGTCTTCAGGATTTGAACATTTTCACATATATTTGCTCTTTAAAGTTTCACAACCCTGAGGTCAATAGGAATTAGGATTAACATCTTATAGATAAGAAAGCCAAAGTTCTAGGAAAGCAGGAGAAAAAAATTACTGCTCAAAATTACACAGCTAGAAAAACGCACACCAGAAACCATAGAAAGAAGTTATATTTTCTGACTCAAATCAAATCCCACTCCTTTATATTACATTAAACAGTACATCAAAAATTCTCACAATATAGAAATTTTAAGTTCTACTTTTAAAAAAATTAAATTCTTGCCTATTTTTAGAGCTCATCTGGAAAAAATGATCTTTACTTCCAAAGTTGAAAATGCAAAAATGAACTGTATAATTTCTGAATGCAAAAAAGAACAAATCATTTTTGCTTCTTTATTATACAATATCCTTTAGAAAGCTTACATTTTATTTAGAATAACAGTTGAAATTTATTAAAATCTACATCAACATGTAGACATACTATTCTATTAGAAAAATAACTTCTTAAATCCTTTATTTAGGCATTGCTATTAACAAAGACCCAAGACTCCTAATGTAAAGATGATCAACAGCTGCTGAAGAGAACACCAGACATACACACTTCATGGATGCTACCCTTATACTTCAGTGCTACCCTTGAAATTCCTGCAAGTAACACAGGGAATCACATGGAAATTCCCTAAAGTTCACAATCAGAATTTGGAACTAAATTATGAAAAAGTACTAAACCTGTTTATACAAATAACAAACTATTTGATTCATTTTTTTAAAGATTTTATTTATTTATTTGAGAGAGAGAGAGAGAGCCTGAAAAGAGAGAGGTCAGTGGGAGATGCAGACTCCCTGCCAAACAGGGAGCCCAATCTGGGACTTGATCCCGGGACTCCAGGATCACGACCTGAGCCGAAGGCAGTCAATCAACCAACTAAGCCACCCAGGCGTCCCTATTTGATTCATTATTAATCTTACTGAAATATTGTTTCCAATCCCCTATTTTTTTTCCTACACCAAGGCAGCTCCAAAGGAGCTCAACATATTTAAATGATTTATTTATTATGACAGATAAGATTATGAAAAAAACTGGGGCGCCTGGGTGGCTCAGTGGGTTAAGCCGCTGCCTTCGGCTCAGGTCATGATCTCAGGGTCCTGGGATCGAGTCCCGCATCGGGCTCTCTGCTCGGCGGGGAGCCTGCTTCCCCCTCTCTCTCTGCCTGCCTCTCTGTCTACTTGTGATCTCTCTCTGTCAAATAAATAAATAAAATCTTTAAAAAAAAAAAAAAAGATTATGAAAAAAACTGAACTTCAGCTATTCTTATTAAGGGCTCTGAATCTTAGTATCTCAATTTCACACATATAACATGGGGAAAGTTTTAAAACAATGATTAAGCTAACTTTTTTAACACAAACTGGCATTTCAAAAATATGGGCGAGAGGGGTGCCCGGCTGGCTCAGTCAGTGGGACATGCAACTCCTGATGTCAGGGTTGTGAGTCTGAACCCCGCAGTGGGTGTAGAGATTACTTAAAAACAAAATCTTCAAAAAGCATTTACGTGGGCAAAATAACTGTTTTTTTCCTTCACATTTTACTCTTTTTAAATGTAAAAGATAGGAGTGCCTGGGTGGCTCAGTGGGTTAGGCCTCTGCCTTTGGCTTGGGTCATGATCCTAGGATCCTGGGATCGAGCCCAGCATCAGGTGCTCTGCTCAGCGGGGAGCCTGCTTCCCCCTCTCTCTCTGCCTGCCTCTCTGTCTACTTGTGATCTCTCTGTCAAATAAATAAATAAAATCTTAAAAAATAAATAAAAAATAAATGTAAAAGATATATACCTATCTCAACACATTCTTGTCAGAAGACCAAAAACCCATGAGATATAGTTCAATACTTAAGTTAATCTAAAGAAACTGCAAAGCTACTTTACTAATAAATATTTGAGTATTTCTCTTACCTCTGTTTCAGTACAGTGTGAGTATCCCAATTTACCTGTAATAAAAATACAAAAAGTTACTTCCAAAGGATTTTAGCTTTTTTATCATTGATAAAAATATCTGAGCTATCCTGGCATGGTTTCATTATATCTATGCAAATATGCAAATAGAAGGTGCTAGAATGACCAATATTCTAGAAGGTCCTACCTAGAGATTTGTTTAAATAAGCCCATAAGAAAATACTAAGTAGGAAGATGGGAAGAATATACTTGATTGTAATAAGACCTAAAACACACACACATATTTAATATGCATATATACAAGTTAATGAAAGTAATAAAAATATTTTTATTAGAGTCTTGCTTTCTTTTTAAGATATCTTAAAATATTTTAAAGGCATTTAAAAAGTACCTTTCAAAATACTCTAAAATACCTTCAAAAAATCTTCAAAAGACTCTTAAACTTTTCTCCAAATGTATCTTCCAGTTTAAAGGTACAGTGATCATTTCAATGACAGCATAAATGTCTCAAACTAATATTTTCTTTAATATATGATGGTTGTTTTTCTTTAATATATGATTAGACAAAACCACATAATTAATTTAGTAATTTTCCAACAGAGGATCACCTAAAGAACAGCAATAATTGAACAATATTTGGTACCAACATCAATATTTCCTCTTCATCACTAACACATAATAACAAAAGAAACATGTACAATTATACATTTCTGCCAATTCTGATGAATAAAACATACTTTTTAAATTAAAAAACAGCTATTTTGAATATCATTTCTTAAGCAGTTTTAACAAAAAGAACAGGTTACATATTTATATTGGGTACCAAACAGCTTAATTTCCCCAGTCCACACTTCTTAAAAATCACTGTCCTCAGTTCAAACATATGTTAACCTCTACCTCCTTTCTTCCAACAACACTCTCCTTCCTCCTAACTGCTCTCTCCAGCCTCTGACTCCCACACCTAGTCCTAGCCCACTGTGCTTGTTCCAGCAGTCTGTGTTTTCTTTAATGCTTAACGAGAATCTATTCACCTTAGAGTTTATAATGATACCACACACACAAAAAAAAAACCCACAATGTTTTTTTATGTGCCTCCAGACTCTTAAAATGAAAAAAATTGAAATCCACAATTTCTGATGACCTAATGGTCCTAATGTGGAATACTGGCTGAAACTGAGACCAGAAAACAAGGGACCATGGGTTCTGTGGATTAAAAATTATATATGAGCAATAAATAATTAAAGATTATATGAACACAGAGATAAAATGGTTTAATATACAAAGGTTCTACATACTATGGTTTGATAAATACATAACATACATATTTACATATTTATGTATTGTTGAATGAAACTATGTATTACAGTTATAGATCATCTATTTTTATTTATACATATATGACTGCTCAGAACATTAGCGCTTTTGGTAAATTAATTATCCTACAACTCCTATAGAGGGGGTGATTAGCTTAACCTAGGAAAGTACTGTGAACAGCAGCAGTTCAAAGGGCACAGACTACCTCTCAACAAGCATTGAGAGTGTCTTCTCTGGAAGGGGAGGGGAGGGAAAAGAAGGAGGAGGCCGGGAGGGAGGGGGAAAATATGGTGTTAAGAAAACAATAACAGAGAGTAACCTCTTTGAGAGTACATAGATGTCCATCTTAGTATAATAATTATTTTTTTTAAGATTTTATTTATTTATTTGACAGAAAGAGATCACAAGTAGATGGAGAGGCAGACAGAGAGAGAGAGAGAGGGAAGCAGGCTCCCTGCTGAGCAGAGAGCCCGACGCGGGATTCGATCCCAGGACTCTGAGATCATGACCTGAGCCGAAGGCAGCGGCTTAACCCACTGAGCCACCCAGGCACCCCAGTATAATAATTCTTAAGGTAAAGAAAACTGCAAAGAAAGTGGTGGGTTTGTTGTTGGTAGTAAAGTATTCAAAAAATATTGAAACTCTTTTGTACATACTGCTGCACTAAGCAAACAAATGCGCTGATGTTGCTGGGAATCATGAACTGAGGGAGAAAGACCCTGTGTACCTAACATGTGGGAAGGAGAGGAAGAGCCCTGTGTTGGTGAACTGGAATTGGGGTATCACCTAATTTCAAAAACAAAACAACAACTTCCTAGCTCTTCCTCCAAAAGAGGGAGAAGTAGTAGCACCCCATTTTGCAAGAATACACCTTGCCCATTCCCCCTCAAAGGAACCAGTACTCAGGAGACTGGCTAACTCCACGGATGGGATAGGTGGAGGTGAGGCATTTCAGGGAGTGTGCTCTGTAAGGCCTAACCCTGAAGAGCTGAAGTTATGAGTGGGTCTACCAAGATGAGAAATTACAGGATAAGCTGGAACATCTTTCTGCACCAGAAAGTAATGAAGTACTCAAAAGTGATGTCAAAATGGCACAAATCTTAGGAAATAAGGCTTTTTCAATGACTTCTATGATAAAACTGAAAATGCTTTCCTATAAAGAATACCAAAAATTTTTGTGTGCATGCACCACTGCTTCCGGTTATTCAATTTGATCTGGTGACTAATCACGCAACTCTGGAAATGTGGTTCACTATGAAGTGCCTGACTGCCTACCCTACTCTGCCATCCAAATCCCTGCCCAGACTCTGACCCAGGAATCAGAAAATCCCAATTACATGAAAGCAGAGCTTAAAGGAACCTTGGAAACCATCCTGCCCAATCCATTCATTTATAGATCAGTAATCTGAGCCTGACAAGTCAAATGACTTCACAAAATGACAGAGCTGAGTAGACTCCAAGGCTCCTGACCCTTGTCATGAGCATTGCTGTGGTTGTTACCCTGTCCTCCATTCCCACTTGCAGGAACCAGTGGGGTTAGGGAAGGGGACTACAGAGGTGCTATCACAGCAACCTACCCATTAGAATCCTGCTTGTGGAGAAATGGGGAAATGTACTCCTTGATTTAGCAGTTGGAAACTGCCAATATAGCAACTGAGAAATTTTCATTTGTCAACTTTTGAGTCCTTCCTCATAGGTTAATCACGTTTCCGGAAACAAATCTAAGGAATCCCACTAAAACCTAGAATCCTATGACTTCACTTTCTACAAGCTGAGTAAACTAAGCCGACGGTAGGCAGAACCAAGGTTTAAGGTTATTAAATGCAGTGAATCAGTTCTTTAAATAAGGCTAACAATTTTACTGATTTATTGTTATTTTAAAGGCTAGATTAACACTCTGACAATGTAAAATAAAAGGAAATATTTGGGATGACACTTAAACATTGAGTTTCAAAATATTCCAGTCTTATTAACACGCTTATACACTAGGACAAAGGATGATTTGCACAGCAAACCAAGACTTCAGCTTGGCATTTCCCAAACAGAATGGGCATTTTAGTAATGCCGGAAGAATCAAGGCTGTGTTTTTTAGGCCCTTCTTTTTAACTCATTCTGAAATATTCTATCTGCTCTTAAGATTTGCTAGACAAGTTCCCTCATGTCCTAGGAAATACAAACACCAGTCTTCCTATAAAATGATATAAAATGGCTTTAAGTGACGCCAGGTGCCTCAGTCAGTGCCTTTGGCTCAGGTCATGATCCCAGGGTCATAGGATCAAGTCCCGCATCACGTTCCCTGCTCAGTGGGAAGCCTGCTTCTCCCTCTCTCTCTGCCTGCCACTCCCTCTGCTTGTGCTCTCTCTGTCTCTGACAAATAAAATCCTAAAAAATAAAAAAATAAAATAAAATGGCTTTAAGAAATGAACTATTCCTAATGTAAAATGTCATTAAAAAAAAAAAAGCCACCTCAACTAAGATAACAAAGACATTTTAAATCCTAACGTTGATAATCAGACACTTTCATTCCAAAGTCTGCTCAGTGTTACCAGAGAGAGCTTTCAGTGAACACATCTTGGTAGACCCACTCACAACCTTAGCTGTTCAGGGTTAGGCCTCACACAGCACACTCTCTGAAATGGCCTCACCTCAGTAGAATCACACAATCTGATGAACCACACAACTACGGTAAAAATTAAGGCAGTTTCAGAAAAAATTTAAGGTGCTCGTGTAGATTAATTATACCTTTAAATTAAGGAGGTAGAGGGGTGCCTGGGTGGCTCAGTGGGTTAAAGCCTCTGCCTTCCGCTCAGATCATGATCCCAGGGTCCTGAGATGGAGCCCCGCATCAGGCTCTCTGCTCATCAGGGAGTCTGCTTCCCTCCCTCTCTCTCTGCCTGCCTCTCTGCCTACTTGTGATCTCTGTCAAATAAATAAATAAAATCTTTTTTAAAAAAATTAAGGCGTTAGAAACCTCAGCATATGGCTGACTTGTCTGTCACCGAGTCACATTATCAACGTGATTCAAATTAGCTGAACAAGCAGAAGGCAAAGATGCCTGCCAGAAAGACACAGAACCCCTATAATCTTTACAATAAATGAACAGCTCTCAGAATTATTCTCCAAATTTTTCCCATGTAAGCAAACTGCAGGCAATGATTGGGTCTATCTGATCCTATGAAGGTATGTTATTTTTTCATAAGCTGAACATTCAATAGACACACCCTGTCCCCCAGCCAGCTTGCCTCTGCCCCTCTCATTCACTCAATAAATATTTGCTGAACACCTACTGAATACTAAAATACCGATGATATAGTGGCAAATGAGCTACACAAACGAGTAAGTCCTTGCTCCCTAGGACTTACATCTTAGTGAACACAGACCCAAAGAAACAAACAAAATTAACTACAACGGGTAATAAATGTTACTAAGGACAGAAAAACGAGAGAAAATAACAGAAATGTTCCAATTTAGAATAGTCAGACAGGACTCCTACAGAAGAGATTTAGGTAGAGACCGTGAGGTTAGGTAGCAGGTAACTGCAGGGCTGAGGGAAGAACCTATTCCAGAACCAGGAGGCAGCCTGTGGTAAGGCTCTGGAAGTATTTCGTAGGTGGGCAGCATAAAACGCATTTGGAAACACAGGCAGGGGCAGATCACACAGGCCTTTTAGGAAGTGTAAGGAGTTTAGATCTGATGTCCAATCCAATGGGAAGCCACTGGA